AGAAGGGGTTTTTGTGAAGATTCAGTATTTTCATAGTTGAGATCATGAGTCAATTGAAGCTAGATCACCATGTAGCACCTGGAAGCACTATGCGACCATTTCGTTCTATTGTGGGACTTCTCAGCAGTACACATCCACGACCTCGCCTCACGAGATTCAAACTCAGGACCTACTGATCTCGCACCCAAGCACTTAACCCCTAGACCAGTGAGCCGCCATCCGATAGTGTTTATGTCTAACTCTAACCAATCCAGGAAGTTGAGCAACCATTCACCAAATATTTATAAAATCTCAGCGAATGAATTTAAAGTAAATATAACGTTTCACCTAGTAATCTGTTCTAAGCTCGGATATAAGTTCATTGATTAATATTTGATTTTCTTTGATTCAATAATACCAGAAGAAAACATTCGATAATCATTTAATAACTGATAAAGAGATCATTGTTTATCTTGTAATAACATACGCACACACTCACACATACACACACTCACACATACACACATACGGACACACATAGTAACATAATCTCAAATGTATCTGGTCATTATGAGAGATAATCAAGATACATGAATGTATATTCATTAATAGGACTATTAGTTCAGATGAGAATGAATCTATTCAGTTGTTAAGATACTAAAGAAAGACAAATATTGAACATTTGAAATCATATTATTGTTAGAAGGGGATTTGTGGAGATTTCAGTATATTTCAAAGTTGAAATCATCAGTCAATTCAAGCTAGACCACCATACAATACCTGGAAGCACTGGACGGCCGTTTCATCCTATTATGGGACTCCTCAGCAGTGCGCATCCACGATCCCACACTCGCGAGATTCGGACCCAGGACCTACCAGTTACGAGCCAGAGCCCTTAACCGACAGACCACTGAGCCGGCATCCAACGGTGTTAATGTCTAACTTCAACTGATCCACGAAATATGAGCGACACTTCACCAATTGCCTTCAGTGAGTTGTTATCTCACAACAGGCTCGTAACTGGTAGGTCCTGGGTTCGAATCTCGCGTGTGCGGGATCGTGGATGAGGAGTCCCATAATAGGACGAAACGGCGGTTCAGTGCTTCCAGGTTTTCGATGGTGGTCTAGCTTCAATTGACTCATGATTTCAACTTTGTCATATTATTGTTGTTATTATGTGGTGTGGGTTACTTATATCCATATAAGTAGTATATAATGATGGTCAGGCATTGAATGTATTTCAATAAATGATCGATAAGGAAAAAACGGGAACGAAACGCCTTTGTGTATGAAAATGCATGGACAATAATAATCGGAGACTATGAAATGGTCAAGATTGAGACAAATGACTGATAGATTGCAAATTAACTGGTTACTGTATGGTTATCAGATTTTAAGTGATATGGTCTATAATTTTCATGGCAATTACATTCGGCTGTCTCCAATCTAATTCTTGTTCACCACAATAGTGTTGTTTGTATATTAATGTATAAACACACACACACACCCATATATACACAGACAGAGGGTAACTGACTGATCATAATAATTTCTTTTCATCTTTCATTGTCTTTGATCTATCTGATCTGTTCTATTTCATGTTTCATAATAAAACTAATACTCTGTAAAACAAATAAAAAACACAACAGGACTCAGAGGTTAAGTGGATAGCGCGATGGCGTTTGAAGCGAATGGTACTGGGTTCGAGTCCCAGAGTGAACAATTAAGAAATGATCACGGTTTAAAATATCTGATATTCGTATAATATATATTACTACTCTAATGTTAATAAATAATGTCAGTAGTAAGCAAAGATGGATAGTGGCTAGTAGTGGAATCTAGTTTCACAAGCGTTTCGTCCTAGTTAGTACTCGTCAGCTGGATGCACCTGAATGTTCACTCTGGGACTCGAACCCAGTACCTTTCGCTTCAAACGTCATCGCGTTATTCACTCGGCTTATAATGCTTGTGAATTAAGGCAGCAATACACCCAATATGCACATATGCCCATTAGAGACTGACCAGTTGCAGTCCTAAAACATCAATGAGAAGATTCAAACAAACAATAGTAACTGAATTTATACATATATTATTTACTATTGATAACAACAAATTTATCAAATGACAAATGTTGTATACAAGTAAATCAATTCTCTTGGGGACTCTTGTTTATTTACTAATAGGGATGGCAATATAGTGAACAAGAATACAAATGGGAATAATCAAATGTATTTGAACACAAAATTATTGTTATTTCTGGAACTTAGATTCTTAGGCTTTAGAGTCTTCGCCGTACTTTCGATGCTGTCCCAATATGAAGGTATGAAACATTTGTTAGTACTTCCGACTCATCCCCCCCATCAACCATTTACTAGTAATCTTCTATCTACTTAAGCACTCAAACGCTAGAGCCCTCCCAAGTCGGAAAATCAGAAGACAGAAAACAAGTGGAAGGAATGTTATTCGCAACACAGTGTCAATTATGGTACAAAACTGTCAGGTATTTATAGCTCTTAGTAGAAACGAAATCATCATTATTGTTATCCAATCCGCACACAGGGGGTTAACAGCATTGCCCAATAGGGAAGTTACACGTTGTGATTTTAGAATATTTCTTCAAAAGCTGATTGGATGGAATATGTTCGGCTCCTTCTGAGCTTCATAGAGCTTCCTCAATTTCTTGTATGGACCGTCCTCACAAATATAGAATCACTTAGTAAAATCTGATAACCATATGATAAATATTTCAATCGTCTCAGACTTCACTGTTCTTTTGTTTCTACACCAAATATCCTTTGTTCTCATTCTTTTTTCTAACTTTCAGTCATCAGGGATTTCACGTTTAATTGATGATACGTACTACTTATATGTGTGGATATCAATAGTGCACACCACAGTAATATAAAAATGAGATTACTATTGAAAAAAACTCCGTCTGTAGCTCTTCTACAGTTACCGCCGCTCCCATGCCCGGGGTAAAGAAGGAGGGTTGGGCATGAGGTTAGCGTCCCCATCCCGTATAAAAAAAACTAACTCGCTAAAAGCAAACGCTAAGCAGAAAACGCTAATGAAAAGACTATTTGTATGTAGTTTATAAATTGATCTTTATAATCTGAAACTAGATTGTGACTATCAATGGAATATACAATGTGTGTTTCATATTATTCAAGACTCATTAATTGGATATATCTGCTACACTTCTTTGTTAATGTTCATATTGGGACTCAAACTACAGTAATTTTAAATTCTAAACGCCAAACATGTTATCCGCAGTGCTTCTAAGTACTAGGGAGTTCACTAGGGAAGTTATTATTCCTGATAGGTCCAGTATATATATACTTACTACTGTATTCGAGATACTAATTCAAATTTCAATGATAAAAGATCAACCTAAATCCCTATTTTTAATGAATTTACAAGAGAGCCAATATGATGGTAATAGAATCGGTTCAAACATTGTCCTTAGTTTGTATATTTATCAGTGAAATAAGATAAAATGCCCAGGTTAAACAGATTTGAAATGTTCAGGAATTACATTCAAAGTTAAGAAACAAAGAGAGAAAAGACAGTTGACATCTTGTTCAACAAAAAGTACTGAATAAACCAATATGAAAGTAGATGATGTTTTACAGTCAGTTAATAGACTGAGAGCAAGAAAACTGTGCAATTTATTACTAGGTAATGACGAATAGTATATTGGATGTGAGTTTCGAGGTTATGCCCCTCTTCATACTGGTACCTGAATCCAACAACTTAGATATCTTAATCATACAATCTAATCATGAATAATAACATCATTACTTACTTACTTGCTTATGCCTGTTACCCCCAATGGAGCATAGGCCGCCTAGTAGCATTCTCCAACCCATACTGTCCTTGGGCCTTCTTTTCTAGTTGTATACAACTTAGAAGAGGCATTGACCTATTGACCTCTGAAGGAACTCGACTTTCGTCATGAGGCGTCATAATTCTGATCAGCGTATTTTTTAACGAGTGGGTTTTCTACAGGATGGAGTTGATAACCCCATACCCAACCCTCCTCCTTTATCCCAGTTTGAGATCGACAGTAACTCTCCGGATGATCTACAAGCAGAGTTAATAACATCACTCAATTATTCACTTAGTATTACTTGTTTGAATCATCCCATTGATGTTCTAGGACTGCAATTCATTAGTCCTTATTGGCATATGTGCATACTGTGCTTATTGCCTCGATATAGCCTTAATTTACAAGCATTATAAGCAAAGATGGATAGTGGCTAGCAGTGGAATCCAGTTTTTACGCGCGTTTCGCCTTATTTGCGACTCGTCAGCTGGATGTGCTTGCGTCTCAGAGTTCATGTTCGTTGTCTCGGATTATTATTATTATTATTCATGCATTTTCATACCAATTGTGTTCCGTTTCCGTTCTCTCTTTATCGATCTTCTGCCAAAATACACTCTATACCTGACCGTCACCATATACTGCTTATGTGGATATAAGTAACCCACATCACAATACTAGTCAGATTCTTACATTATTTGAACAAGTTATGTATTGCTAATCATTTCTTAAGGTCACTAACCCCGTACCCCTCCGAGATTAGGACCGGCAGTACACCCCCTGGAAGGATCTACAAGCAGATTTAATAGCATCATACAATTATATAAAACTTACTTGCTTACGCCTGTTACCCCCAATGGAGAATAAGCCACCGACTAGTATTCTCCAACCTACTCTGTCCTGGACCTTCTTTTCTAATTCTATCCAACTTAGAAGAGGCATCGGCCTTATGACTTCGGAAAGGAACATGGCTTTCATTATGAGACGTCATACTTCTGGTTAGCGTTTTGTTTTAACGAGTTAGTTTTCTACGAGGTCGAGTCGCTAACCCTATACCCAACCCTCCTCCTTCATCCGAACTTAAGACTGACAGTAACCCTCCGGGAGGATCTACAAGCAAGCATCATAACATCATTCAATGATATAAACCTTACATTCCTTTGTTTTGTTTCTTTTTCTTTTTTCTCCTTTTCAATAGCGTGATTGTCCATCAGGTCAATTAAGTAAAAAAAAATTTATTGAAGTCTATTCAGGTTTTTTCCCTGATGGTAATGCTGAAAAATTTTGCACCCATGTATTTCGTACATTTGATAAAGATAATTCTGGACGAATTGATTTTAAAGAATTTTTATTAGCTATTAATATTACATCAGGTGGTAATCCAGAAGAAAAATTAGAATGGGCCTATCAAATGTATGATATTGATGGTAATGGTACAATTGAACGAACGGAAATGGTTGAAATAATTAGGGTAAGTTGAAAAGTTTAGTATGATTTATTTTGGTTTTTTATATATAGTTGAAATCATGAGTTGATTGAAGGTGGACCACCATGGAGCACCTGGAAGAACCGTTTGATGGCTGTTTCGTCCTTTTGTGGGATTCCACAGCTCACTAGTGATTAGCTCTAAGAGGTATTTCCTGGAATTCTTGTGAGAAGCAGTAAACAGTGGAGTTCAAACAGGTCTTTCGTGAGATATCAACCCGCTGAACACATTGGTGGATGAGTCGCTCAATTTCATTGGTCATTTGAAGTTAGACATTAACACCATTGGATGCCGGCCGTTTCACTGGTCAAGAGGTTAAGCGCTCATGAGTGAGACTGATAGATCCTGTGTACGAATCTCGTGAGGCGAGATCGTGGATGCGCACTGCCACTGAGGAGTTCCACAATAGGACGAAACGTCCGTCCAGTGTGCTAGTAATAGTACAATAGAACGTAATGAAATGGTTGAAATAATTAGAGTAAGTTATAACAGAAAGAGTAGAAACATTGGTGAAACTATTGATTTGTTTTTTTATTTATTTCGCATGATTGTTCAGTAACTATGTCGAAACTATTTTGAGAGAGTGAGAGAGGGTAAAGTAAGTTGTCAACCAAACAGAGGGTGGGTGATGAGAAGATATTTAAGACAACTAACTTTGAGGAAACTTGAGAGAAGTGTGGTAATAGTTATAAATTTCAGTTGAAGTTAGATCACCATGGAAAACTTGGAAGCACTGTTTGACGACCGTTTTGTCCTATTGGGAAACTCCACAAAACCCCCTTCAGATAATGATTATATGCTAACTAGTGACTGGTTACATGGGGTGTTTCCTGGAGTTCTAGTGAGAGGCAGTAACCAGTGGAGTTCAACCAGGTCTGTTGGGAGATATCAACTCACTGAAGACATTGGTGAAATGGTTGCTCAATTTCGTGGATTGGTTGAAGTTAGACATTAACACCGTTGGATGCCGGTCAGCTCAGTTGTCTAGAGGTTAAGTGTTAGCGCGCGAGACTGATAGATCCTAGGTTAGAATCGTGCGAAGCGGGATCGTGGATGCGCACTGCTGAGGAGTCTCACAATAGAACGAAACGGCCGTCCAGTGCTTCCAGTTTTCCATGGTGGTCTAGCTTCAATTGACTCACGCTTTCAACAATGAAAATACTAAATCTCTACAAAACCCTTTCTGATAAATAATAAACTTTTTGTGATGGTGATGAAGATTTGTAGCTTAGCTGAATGATTTCGATAGCGATTTGTTCTTTGAACTGGATGGTTTTGTTGTGAAGTGTTCATTGTTCTTTTGAACGACTTCATCAGAACAAACTTCTAACTGAGTTACCTTCCAGTCATGATACAACTTAGAGAACAAAACTTCACCGAAATCAATTTTTTTAACAGAAATGTTAACACTACTAACAAGTAGTTAACATGATAAAATTGAAAAGATATAAGAAAGGGTATTTTTGTGGAGATTTTAGTAATTTTATAGCTGAAATCATGAGTCAATTGAAACTAGACCACCATACAAAACCTGGAGGCACTTTACGGTCGTTTCGTCCTACCCTGGGACTCCTCAGCAGCGCGCATCCACCATCCCGCCTCACTAGATTCGAACACAGGACCTATCAATTTCGTGGAGTTCAATTATGTCTGTTGTAAAATAGTAACTTACTGAAGACATTGGTTAATGGTTGCTCATTTTCGTGGATTGCTTGAAGTTAGACATTAACACCGTTGGAAAACCGATCGGTTCACTGGTCTTGAGGTTAGGCGCTCACGCGCAAGACTGATAGGTCCTTTGTTGGAACCCACGAGACGAGATAGTGGATGTGCACTGCTGAGGAGTCCCACAATAGAACGAAACGACTGTCCAATGCACTTAGGAATATTTCAAAACTTCTTTCATATTATGTATATATAGAGTAAAGAGAATACAATACATACAATCAATATCCAAAACGTTGAGAATTTAAAGGACCGGATATTGTTCTTAACAAATTGATAAGTATATGCATATGTATATATGTATCCAGTTGTTGGGAATGGAATAAACTATCCCTGTTGATTGACGATTATAATTTATGAGTTGGTTGATGGACTTAATGTACCGCATAAAAATCTCCCCCTCTCTTAACAACCTATAACAGGATACAACATATTAGTTGTATTCTGGTCACTAAGAACAAACAGTTCTGATTGAAAATCATACAAAGTAAATTACTTTATTTGGTTTACAAGTGATTAAGGGGTCGGTATATATTTGCTTAGATTGTATAGAGTTAAATCATTATGCAATTCTCAGATTTTGATTCTATCTCAACCTTAACACACACACTCTCACTCTCTCTCTCGCGCGCGCCTTCATAAATGATTGTCATCAGTAACCAAGGCAACAAGAATTTATTTAGAATTGTGATTAAAAGTTGTTAACGAAGTTATTAAAGTTTTAATTTAAGTGTTAATCTATTATGGATGTCCGTATGTATGTATGTATGTGTGTGTGAGTGTATGCTTGAGTATTTTATATTATTGAAATAAGTAGATTAGTAAGTAGTTGAAGAAAAACAGAAAACTCATATTGGGATTATTTTCTATCCTGGATACATTTCAAATGATATGGGTCGTCATTACCGAAAACTAAAACAAAATGACTTAGTTCTTAGTCTGTCAGATATATATTGTCTTTTGCTAGATTAGTTACAAAGTGCTCCTCTCCACCATTGATTTATATTTAGTGATTAGAGGAAGTCAAGGGGAGAAAAAGTACCAAATTGTCTCATTGGACCAATTAGGATTGTGATAGCAATTTTATTGATCTTGGTGTGAAATTCAACATATATTGTTCCTTATTAAAGACTATGGTCGTCAAAGTATTGATAAACAGCTTCAGTGTTTGGCTAACGTAATAGTTATTGTTTGATCTAAGGTATCTATTACTTCTGTTAAATTATGTTTTCAGTCAGTGATCTTGAGGGCTGTTAGAGGTATGATGGCAGTTATCACTTCTCGGCTGTCCACATCGTAGAAAAGTTCTTCTAGAGGTACCTGAAAAGAAAATTAGATTATAAGTGGTCTTAATGACCTGAGAGCGTGACTGCACTGCCATAGGGATAAGTGTTTGGTGTCGGTCACACTCCACCTTTCTGTGGGTCATTTTTGTGTTGCCTCCGTACATGTTGGGACTTTACCGCCTGAGACGGAAATCCGTGGTATAAGGCGAGGTGTGCATTTTTAGGGTCGACCTTTTCTTACTCCATCCCTCCTTATGGGAAGCCAGCATCGCTGTTATGCTTGTTCTTTGAAGGAAACACATTACTGCCTTCATATCTCTGTACAGTCAGCAGTAGGACATCGCCTTCATACCTTGGGTTTGCTGCTTATAGTTTTACCGCTGTTCAACCGACCTTCCTGGCATGGTAGAACTTTGAGGAACGATTATTCCAGCCAGTATAGCTCGATTGGTTCATCACGATAGGCAAGCTCGACCACCACGTCAAGGTAGCAGCAACAGTAGGGCATGTTTTCAGTAGACAAAGGTGATTTGTACAGTTGAATAACATTGTAAATCTAAACTTGTTTAGCTAATTATAAAAAATAAAAAATAGAGTAAGAACCTATTGTTTTAGAAATTAAGACCAGGATATAGATTTCAAGATTCCTACATAATAACTGATGTTATTTTTAGATGAGTGACGTAACCCTAACTCTTAATTCTTATTTCCAATACTATTTCCAAACCATATTTCCATAAATGAACCTTAACTAAAACATATGCATATTCGTTATAAGCTTAGCGGTTTAGTTTGGTTTAGTTTAGTCGTATATCCACGCTGATAGGCTTTAAATACTAGTATATATATCATTTATTTACTGGTTAGAGTTATTGTAGCAAGGTTGATTCTTATGAGATGAAGTTGCTGACCCTCATGCCCAAACCTCCTCTTTTATTCGGGGTTAGGACAGGCAGAAACTGTGGAAGACCTACAGGCGGAATTGCATTTTTCATTCACATACAATTAATAATAATTCTTAATACACCGATGGAATCGATGTTAAATATCGACATAATTGCTAAAACAAGCTCAAACAAAAGATGGATTATTAGTCATCTGTAGAACATTTTAATAACCGGTTAACCTCTTTCTTTTAAGTCATCTTCATATTCCACTGATGTCATAAGAGTATGGTATATCCGAGGAATTATAATATCACCTTGGACAAGGTAAAAAAAACGAAAAACATCAATGCAAGAACAGGACAAGTTAAGCTGTTTCTCTACACCTCAACTCTGTTAACTAGAGAAAGAATATTAGATATATCTAAGAAAATCCAAGAAGAAGCCTGGAAGAACGAAAAAAAGGCATACAAATTATACGTAATTTATTTAATTCCAGGATGCCCTTGGAAAGCGTTGAAAAATAGCATACCAAAAGGAAAAACAAATCAATGGTGTCCGAGGTCCTTCCGGGAGGGAAACACAAAACGAAGGTGATAACTTGGACTTGTAGCGCGAAAGTGATAAATTCAAATTTTAGTAATCAAATTACAGAGATAATAAGTTTGCTAAGTGATAATGCTATAAACAAAGATAGATAATGGGTAGCAGTGGAATCTCGTTCTATTTGAGACTCGTCAGCTAGATGTACCTGCATCTCAGAGTTGATTTTCACTCTGCAACTCAAACTCAGTACTGTTCGCTTCAAACACCATCGCGTTATCCACTTAGTTACTGAGTGCTTGAAGCTAACGTTACTTGGTTCGAGACCCAAAGAGAACATTAAATCAGGTGCAGATACATCCAGATGACAAGTCCCAAATAGGACGAAACTCGCGTCATACTAGACTTCATTGCTAGCCACTATCCATCATTGCTTATAATGCTTGTGAATTAATACAATATCAAGGCAATCCACACAGGATGCATATATGTCTATAATTAACTTTGATTACGGCTACTTTTCGTTAAGACATTCAATTAACTCACTTAACAGACTGTGTTATTTGAACGGTGACAATTCATCCATTTCTTTGTACTGTTATGATCACTATCTGATCTGTATAGAGGTGTACACCTGATCACATAACAGGCTACTCACATATCTCGTTCGGTGAATCATTCTCTTCCCCATGTATATATGTACTGGAATCGTATGAATAGCGTTTGTCTTTTTGTTCCGTCATTCGACTTGACGGTAAATCCTACTCTATATTTACTCGTATATACACATATTCACATCTCTATTTCAAATACCCTTTATGTCTTTGTAGCTTGTGAGCTGTCGTACTCGCTAACAAACTATAGTCATCGCTTTCTATTACCTTCTATTATACATTTATTTTCCTTTTGATTATAGGCTATTTATTCAATGCTTGGTACAGATAATACAGCTGTTGATATTAGTCCAGAAGCTAGAGCTGAAGAAATTTTTGATAAAATGGATGAAAATGGTGATGGTGTATTAACACGTGAAGAATTTATGAAAGGTTGTATGGAAGATAGTCAACTTAAAGCTATGCTATTAGCTGATGATCCAGTTGAATAATAGACAAATAGTAGTACCACATTCACAACAACAACAATAACCATCTGTAAAGATCAAATGCAAACAAACAAACAAACAAACATGAATCACTTACCATTGATCTTCATTATAAAACAATCTTTAACATACATTCATATCTATATTATACTTCTCTCTATATATATATTTTTTTCTCATTTTTGTTTTAATCGTTGAAATTTGATTCGGCGGTTAATTTAAAAATCTGCGTTACATTCATTTCCTCATTTTCTTTTTTGATATATCACACTAAAAAACTATCATATTTCGTTATTTATTTAATCTATTCATATAAAACTATATCATAGTTACGTAATACATATGTATATCCATTCCCAGGACATGGTTGAAAGAAGTAAACTGGTGTAAGGCCTATACTCCTCTACAAGGGGGTAACAGGCATAAGTAGCTAAATAAGTAGTATATATCCATTGAATATAATGAATCCTATTTAACAATGTTTATTATAATATCCAATATTAAATGCTGGTTTCTTATTTTGTTTGTTGCTAAGGATGTAAAAAAAATGTTTCCTTTCTAAAACGCTTGGATATGAGTTGTTTTTTTATTTTTAAAAAACATTTTTTTGTTTTTGATTTTCACTTTTTGGCTCTAATCACATTTACAAACAAAAAAAACAAAAAAAGAAAGAAAAATCGATATCCTATTTTTTTTCTTTTAATCTTTTTTGGATTTATCTATTGGTAAACAACAATAAAAATCAATAATGTTTACTCAAACAAACAAATTTTCCATCATTTATGAATAGGATGTTTATTATCAATGAAATATAAATGATTATATAATCATTTAATAGTTGAAATCATGAGTCCATTGAAACTAAACCATCATGGGAAATCGTGGAAGCATTGAACAGTCGTTTCTTCTTAGTATTGGACTTTTCAGCAATGTTTATTTACGATCCAATCTTAAGTTCGAATCCTACGGGAGGTAGGATTATAAATGAACACTACTGAAGAGTCTTATACTAGGAAGAAACAACTATCTAGTACTTCCAGGTATTCCATGATGATCTTTGCTTTCATTGACTTATGAATTCAATTATTAAAATGACTAGAACATTCATCAAAAATATACCCCCTCCCGTTCTTGATTACATAATGACGCTTGTTAGTCTATTCATATTTGAGTAAACATCTGATTATCCAATTATGTTACATTCATATAAATAACAAATAAACCGCCAACATTCTATTCAGTATTTATAAGATTTAATCAATATTGTTTTTTTTTCTTTTTTTATGAAAACAGGGTAATATTATAGTAACTCTTTTTCTTACCATACCATTTCTCTCTTACCCTCACTTACTCACCCACCTACTCACTTTTTTTGTTACCATGCCATTCTGTCTCTCACTTACTCTCACTCACTCGCTCACTCACTCCCACTTACTCTTTTGGTTACCATACCATTCTGTCTCTCACTTACTCACTCTCACTACAACCCACCCACCCACTTACTCACTCTCACTTTCCCCCCCCATTATTATTATTATTATTATGAATGCAACCATAAAGTGTATATTACTTTTTTTTTTACAGAACTCATCATATACTACTCATATTCTTATTGACATATATTGTAAATATTATGCTTAAATAATGAATCATAATGATAAAAATATATTTCCTTTTCTTATTGTATGAATATACGTACATATATCATTGTATACAGAATAAAATTCAGATATGAAATCATTTATGTTCTTATAATACTGTATATATGCTACTAATGTTGACAGATATAAGTAGTATGTAACATCAATGGAAAATGAAATATCTGGAGGTTGAAAATTAAGTGGATCAAAAGGAAATAGAATGAGAACTAACAACGATTAGTGTGTGCAAACGAAAGAACAATGAAAATTTGGGATGATTGATTGACATTTCATTTAGTTACTTACTTACTTACGCAACTTCCGAAGAAGTATAGGCCGTCGCCCAGCATTCTCCAAACCATTCTGTACTGGACCTCCATTTCTAATTCTATCCAATTGTTGTTCATTCTCCTTATGTCTGTCTCCATTTTTTGGCGTAATGTGTTCTTTGATCTTCCTCTCCTCAGCTGACCTTCAAAATTTCATGTGAGGGCTTGTCTTGTGACGCAGTTGGATGACTTACTCAATGTGTATTCTATCCACTTCCAGTGCTTCTTCCTAATTTATTCCTCTTCTGAAATCAGGTTTGTTCTTTCCAACAGTAGATTGTTTTTGATAATATTTGGCCAACAGATCTGAATTATTTTGCGTAGAAAAGTGTTAATAAACATCTGTATCTTCTGGATGATGGCTTTCATAGTTTTCCAGGTTTCTTCTCCATACAGATGTGATAGGAAGATAATAATACTGTTGGATAAATAGTCTTACAAAATTTTACAAGTTAGCAATTGATTATAATACAAATGGAGTAAGATAATTAAAGTGTTTTTTGTTACAATAATTATGATTAATAGAAGGATTAAATCCAATGAAATGATATCGGAAACAATGATAAATAACAGTATAGGGTTGTAGAGATTGTTGTGTTTAGATTATTATAATGAATGGATCAATGTTAGACCGAACTCCGCCTGTAGCTCTTCTAGAGTTACTGACGGTCCCACGACCGGGCAAAGGAGGAGGATTGGCCATGGGGTTAGCGACCACATCCCATAGAAAAACTAACTCGCTAAAAAAACGCTAACCAGAAAAAAAATTCATTGTTAGACAACCATGGAAAATCTGCTATGGGACTTCTTAGCAGTGCACATCTAAAGGTTAAACGTCCTCAAGTGAGACCGAAGGTCCTGAGCTCCAGTTAAAAAATGCGGAATCCTGAATGAGCATAGGCTGAGGAGTCCCATACTAAGATCAAACGGCTGTTCAGTGCTTCCCGGTTTTTCAATATTGGCTTAATATTGATCAATTCTTTTGTACCTATGCAATTCAGTTTTCTTTCTGTGAATAGTAAGAGCTTTCTGTTGTTTCAAGACATTTGCTACAAAAAAAACTTGCTAGATGTGACCGATGTGTTTATTTCAAAACTTTTGAAATGATCAATGAGAAGATTCAAACAAATCATACCAAGTGAGTTTGAATATTTAATTTTCATTTACAAATGACAATATCAGCTTTCCATTATTCTTACTGTATGGTTAAAAAGAAGGCCTAGGGATTAATGAGACCCATCGATTATGTAAATAACAAAAAAGTGACTTAGTGAAATGAACAAATGAACAAATGTTTGAAACCCGATAGCATCTCACGATCGATTTGTCTTCATATAACACACTGCATAGCAATGCATACCTGTAACCTTATAACTGGGAATCGAATATGGGACTCTTAGTTATGTGCAGGATAGTTTATTCCCATTTACAGACTCCTATCATTAATACAATTGTAGTGAACGAGAAGACAAACAGGTACTATCTCAGTAAAATCTGATAACCATAAAGTAAACAGTGAATTTGCAAGCTATCAATCAATTGTCACAATCTTGACCATTCCATGCATTCTCATACCAACTGTGTCCGGTTCCCATTCTTTCCTTATCAATCTTTTGTTGAAATACATTCAATGCCCGACTATCGTTATATACTACTTATGTGGATATAAGTAGTTCACACCACACAATATCTTAAGACTATTGTGTATGAGAACAAAGAGAATGGAACATTCATAAAATGACAACGGATATTTGAAACCCTATCAAACTTGTTATCATAAGTATCATATTACAGAAATCCTTCAATCATTCAACAAGTAGTTCATATCAAATTTCTTAATATGATCTTTCTATTCATCACTAATAACTACCACCATTACTATATTGACATTTTGGGGTGTGATGAATGTATTCATGAAATCAACACTTTCTTCTTGTATAGTAGATCTATGAGGATCATTTCAATTGTCTATTTGTATGTAAGTAAGTTTGTATATGTATGTAGAATAGTGAATTTGTTTTGATCTATCAACCAATCAAGAAAATTATGCAGGAAGATGGGAACAAAAATCAAATCAATAGAAGATACAACCAAAACAAAGAAATAAACAATGACAGATATAAAGTCAATAAGAACCAATCAACATCGAGGTGCAGAGGACAAGCAGTGAATCACATGTGGAGAAATTCAAACACTTCACTTCTACCCGAAGTTTGTGCTGATGATGTCGTTCAGAAGGACGATGAAAGCTCCACGACCAAACCACCCAGCTCAGAGAACAAACCAACATCAAAATAATTTTTTCTGTTAATTGTCACCTTTAATTTTTTTCCGAAATTAATACCCGATCTATTTCACTCAACTACATCATCTATGATGTTTACACTAAGTTATTTAATCTAATTAGTCTACCAGGGTGCTTGATAACTGTGTGGTTGTGTCACAAGATTAAGCTGTACTATTCAGATTGTAGCTTTGAAGCCCATATAGTGTCTGGTTCCCTTGTGGGGCAGTATTGAGCTGTACTATTTGGAATGTCACTTGCAAGTCTGAATGGTGTCTGGTACTCTTGAAAATCAATGTAAATTACCCTGGCCCACAAGGGTATATTATATAACTGTAAATTTAATGTAAGCCTGATATTCTCTATGACTGAATTATACAGACTTAATTGATCATTGAATATTGATCAATATCATTATAGTATTATTGACGGGTTCTGAATTTTCATAGTTTGTGTTGATCCTGAAATGAGTAGTTAAATAGTTTTGTAGTTATTTTTATTATGATTTTATGTCCGGCTTTTAATTATGTGAATTATCCATCAATCGAAATAAGACTTGCCAAAACTTAACATTGTGACAATAAATGACGTTTGATCAGCATGTGTAATCTAGCGTTTTTATTGGTCCTTTGTCCGCTTAGCTTATCCAATTGACCCCAGAAACATCAATTGTACTTTCTGTTATGCGAATCATGTATTTCAAACACACTTGGCTTATATACCAGATAGACAAACTGCATCACACTATAA